TTTATATTTTCTAAAATCATTGAAATCCTCAAGGCCTAACTAAGTCATTAAGAAAAGCTATAAAAATCATTACAATTACATTATTTTGTAGAATACGTAATAAAGAGAAGGCTACCCTGTGAATTAGCCTCAGTCATGAAGTACTTTGCAAAATAGTAAATTTTTTCACAAAAGGAAATTACTTCGTATTTATAAAATACCGTTATCGATCACAATTTTACTTCTTTCGCTGCGAAAAAAGTCAAAACAGGGCCGAGGGGACTCAAACCCGTATATTGCTTCTCATGAAGTTCCCTTTTTTTAAAAATGACCGTATTGATTTCCTCTTCATAATGTTAAACTTCGCATCTTGAGAGATGTTACAGCATCCTTTCGTTTCGTAGTCGCGACCTTCTGCTTAAAGAAGCTTAGTATGGACCTCGAATACACTTTTCCATCCTTTACTTGGAACAGAGGGGCATGATTTTTACCTTCTTCGTCAAGAATTGGGATGATGTCGGTGACTACAGCGGTATTGAGATCTCTACTCGGATAATTGTAAGCTTCAAACACTTGGTCAACTGACTTCCCAACAGCCTCGATCACAAACTTTAGGTTTTGTTTGTTTTCTTCATTGAGAAGCAGTCCATCTCCGAATGCTGCCCACCCATCTCCTCTTTTATTTGCCACACGGAGGCCCATTTTTCCATCTTCGTCGTGCATACACTTGCTCAAGTAATGACCAAGATTGCGTGGATTAATTTCCCTTGCCAAGACATCTCTCGGTGTCCTGAAAACAGAATTTCATTTAAGCAATACTTTCTTTTCCTTTCTTCTTGTACTTTATTTAAACAAAAATCTGAAGAGGCTGGTAACAAAACCAAAACATAAACAATACCCATTACATACATAGGTGACAACGAGAAATTCAATAAGAACAGCATAGCGATCACAATAATGATAATAAGAACAGTGATTTATACCGAATGTGTCCACTCGAGAAGCTGTCAGTCAGGAAATGGCAGGCAAACCCATCCAGTGATAAGGCTTCGTGTAGCAGATTCTCCTTTTCTTCAGCGTTCGTTTTATCACTCGCCTCTCTAGCTTTGTCCATTGCCAGCTTGTGACCCGTTAGATAGGCTTCTTTGGCGTAGGGAAGAAAATGGTCGTGATTAGTTTTAGCTAACTTCAACATGCGTCCGTGTTTGACCGGCAGAAACCAAATCCATTTACCCCCAGTGATTTTATCCCACAATTTATCTTTGAGGCTCTTGAGGTTACGGGTCTCGTGCTCCAGTGCAGCCAAAAGTTTGTTCAACTCTGGCTGCAACTTTTCCTTTGGCTCTCGTGCCAGCGAGTTGTAAGCGTCAATAAAGCGCCTATAACGATCATCGTTAGTCTGATTGGAGGGATCGATAATCGGCTGGGTGGGTACACCATAGAAATCTCCCGCTAGTGCTATAATTTGCCCTAAAGATAACACCAAACCATTGGGAAGCTTCAGGCTGTTTAGTCTGCCCATATTTTCGGATGTGATGCAGACTTTATCCCCTATGTGCTTGTGTTCAAATGGCGCAAAATCCACTAGGTCTTTTCCATGATGATAAACATCAATTGGTTTCGTCTGCTCCATGTTGACGGTGTCGTTTCTGACTAATGAGAAACAGATTGGAATTGACATATGTTTACTCAAATGTCCATTACGTCTAAAAGGTCTTGAACTGTTAAAGATAGCACATTTAACAAGTGAGACAAAACTCAAAATAAGAATACCCTATGTGGCCCAAGCAGAACAGTGATGACGCTAAAATAAAAGTGATATTCGTAGAATCTTACCAGCTTTAGATGAATCTACTCGTGATTTTACTGATTGAAAAGTAAAGTACAAATTAAATTTTAATCTATATCTCAGTCTTATAGAAACGCAAGTGTTCGACTTCCTGTATCAGTAAGTTCTTTAGGGGTTTCCCCGTATCTCTGAAACCGATCTGTTAATCCCTTTTTAGGCTTTAAATAACATCTCTTTTGACGTGCATGACCTACACTTGGACCAACGTTGTAAATACAAAGAGGAAAAAAATTTTCCAGACTCTTCTCATTTGGCGGAAGTTGATTTCATTCGTCTTCCTTTCAGCTAAATAAACTTTAATTAAGACGCAATACATGACAAAATTTCTTCAATACGGC